AACCATGCGCAATTGTGAATACCGCGCTGTGGGTACAGTACAACATTCGGTGGAGCTCCATATGGGGCCACGAACCCTTTGAAGGCTGTGCCAAAATGGGCGTCGGGCGCATGCGGCCTGTGCCTCTGGGGCCTTCGGTGGAACTCGCTATGGCGCCACGAACCGTGCGAGGGGTGTGCCAGAATGGGCGTCGGGCGCATGCGGTCTGTGCCACTGGGGCCTTCGGTGGAGCTCCCTATGTGGCCACGGCCAGTGCGAGGGGTGTGCCAAAAGGGGCGTCGGGCGCATGGCATGCGGCCGTGCCTCTGGGGCCTTCGGTGGAACTCGCTATGGCGCCACGAACCGTGCGAGGGGTGTGCCAAAAGGGGCGTTGGGCGCATGCGGTCTGTGCCACTGGGGCCTTCGGTGGAGCTCCCCATGGGGCCACGACCAGTGCGAGGGGTGTGTCAAAATGGGCGTCGGGCGCATGCGGCCAGTGCCTCTGGGGCCTTCGGTGGAACTCGCTACGGCGCCACGAACCGTGCGAGGGTGTGACACAATGGGGGCGTCGGGCGCATGCGGCCTGTGCCACTGGGGCCTTCGGTGGAGCTCCCTATGTAGCCACGAACCGTGTGAGGGGTGTGCCAGAAGGGGCGTCGGGCGCATGCGGCCTGTGCCACTGGGGCCTTCGGTGGAGCTCCCTATGGGGCCACGAACCGTGCGAGGGGTCTGACAAAATGGGGGCGCCGGGCGCATGCGGCCTGTGCCACTGGGACCTTTGGTGGAGCCCCCTATGGGGCCACGAACCGTGTGAGGGGTGTGACACAATGGGCGTCGGGCGCATGCGGCCTGCGCCACTGGGGCCTTCGGTGAAGCTCCCTATGGGGCCGCGATCCTCGTGAGGCGTGCGCAGAAATGGTGGGCATGCGGAGAGCAGAGGAGGGAGGGGAGGAAGGAGGAGGGAGAGGAGGAGGAGGAGGAGAGGAGCAGGAAGGAACGCGGGGCGATGTCTCTTCAAAACGAAGACCCAACACTACAGGATGGTTGGGAACAATCAAACGACCGAAAAAGACATGTCTTCTCCAAACAAATGAGCCGCCAGGCACCATCCGTATTCCTCCGGGGACCTGCGGAGGAGCCAGCATTGGGGAAAACAACATGCGCGTGGCGGTACGGAGCCACGAAAGAAAACAAAACAAAAAACCCAGAGAAAGAGAAATAAAAGAATCTGAAAAAAAAAAAAAGAAAAAATAAATATAAAAAAAAAATGAAGTGACGATATAAAAAAAACAAAAAGAATAAAAAGCGAAGCGTGTAAGGGACGGGCCGAAATGGGGCCGCGGCGGTGCCAATGCGAACGCAGCCCCCTGGGGCCTTGGTGGTCAAAAACGAAAATAAAGAAAGAAAAAAGGAAAAAGAAAAAGATCATATAGAAAAAGTTACACAAAGATAAATTAAACATCTCCCCCCCCCCCCCCAACACCAGAACCCCTGCTGTCCAGCCTACTCCGATGGGGCCACGAACCCTGATAGTACCCCTACACACGCTCCCCACCCCCCCTCCTCCCCTTCCAGTGGTTCCCGCAAGGGCACTGAGGTAGCCCATCGCCCCCCACCCACAGTGGCCGGGCGCAGGAGCGCTCCACCATGGGCCGCGAACCGTGTGAGGCGTGTGCCGAATTGGGCGCGGCGGTACCATGCGAACCGTCTCACTGTGGCCTTCTGTGGAGCTCCCTATGGGGCCGCGAACCGTGTGAGGAGTGTGCCGAAATGGGCGCGGCGGTGCCATGCGAACCGTCTCACTGGGGCCTTCGGTGGAGCTTCCTATGGGGCCACAAACCATGTGAGGGGTGTGCCGGATTAGGTGCGGCAGTGCCATGCGAACCCTACCACTGAGGCCTTCAGTGGAATTCCCTATGAGGCCACGACCGGTTGAGGGGTGTGCCGAATAAGGCGCGGTGGTGCAATGCGAACCCCCCCACTGGGGCCTTCGGTGGAGCTCTCGATGGGGCCACGAAATGTGAGAAGTTTGTCGAATTGGGCGCGGTGGTGCCATGCGAACCCTCCCACTGGGGCCTTCGGTGGAGCTCCCTATGTGGCCGCGAACCGTGTGAGGCGTGTGACGAACTGGACGCGGTGGTGCCATGCGAACCGTCTCACTGGGGCCTTCGGTGGAGCCCCTGGGGCCTTCGGTGGAAATTCCTACGGGGCCACGAACCGTGCGAGGGTGTGCGGAACTGGAGGCGGGGCCGCCATGTAAACTGTGCCGCTGGGGCCTTTGGTGGAGCTCCCTATGGGGCCACGAACTGTGTGAGGGATGTGCCGAAGCGGATGGCACGGACGCATGGGACGATTATGGTGATGATGATGATAATGATAACGATAATGATGATGATGATGATGATGATGATGATGATGATGATGATGATGATGATGATGATGATGATGATGATGATGATGATGGTGATGATGATGATGATGATGATCCTGATGATGAAGAGGAGGAGGATGAGGATGAGGATGAGGATGGAGGGAGGAGCGGGAGGAGGCGGAGGAGGAGGAGGAGGAGAGGAAGGAAGGAAGGAACGCGGGGCGCTGTCTCTTCAACACGAGGACCTAACAACACAGGATGGTGGGGAAACAAGCACCGCCACCAACGACAACAGCAACAACCACACCATCAGCAACAACACCAACAACCACAACACCGTAGCAGCATCAACCACATCAACAACAACAACAACAACAACAACAACAACAACAACGACGACGACGACGACAACAACAACAACAACAACAACAACAACAACACCAACAACAACAACAAGAACAACAAGAACAACAACAACAACAACAACAACAACAACACAGCACCAACAACACTACACTAACAACACCAATAACACCCCCACCACGAACAACAACAACGACAACGACAACGACACTAATAACAGCAACAACCCTAGCAACAGCAACAACACAAACAACGATCATTCTAAGACTGTTCGCTCTTACTGGCACGCGTGTTTTGCATTCTGTATACCCCAACCCTCGATGCCCGCCCACTTCGTCTTCGACCGCACCCCCTTTCGGGGGAACATCTTCCTTGTCGGCCACTGGCTGAAGCGCGAGGAACTCTCGAGCGAGAGCGCCGTTCCTGAGTAAGGGGGCCTCTCTGGCCAGGCCAGGGGCTCTCGGATTACATATCGGGAAATATCGAACGGGAATCCTTGTCGCCGTGTCTGGGCCTCCACCAACTTGCGTGGATTACGAGAAAATCTCGAGCGAGAGCGCCACTCTTGAGTTCGGAGGCCTCTCTGGCAAGGGCCTCTGCGAATACATCTTGAGGGAGTACAGAACGAGAGCCCTTGTCGTCGCAGCTGGGCCTCCACCAATTCGACGGAATCGCGAAAATGTCTTGAGCGAGAGCGCCGTTCCTGAGTTCAGGGGCATTCCTGGCCAGGGGTTCTCGGAGTAAACCATGAGGAAGTATCGAGCAGGAGCCCTTGTCGTCGTGGCTGGGCCTCCGCCAACGTGACTGAAAAGGAGCCGTTGTCGTTGTAGCCAGGCCTCCAAGAGCCCACTTTTACACTCAAACCAACGCTCGCGTGGGAGCCTCGTTTTCAAAGGAAATGTAGTGGGCGTCGAAGCGAGAGCGCGCGGAACCGTTTCCGGAGATCAGCAAAAAATGTCTTCCAGAAATCAATATTCAACGACAGCAACATCAACAACAGCAACAGCAACATCAACAACAGCAACAAGAACATCAACAACACCATCATCCACAACAGCGACAACACCAACAACAACAATGCCATGTGAAGGGCGAGGCAGGCAGAGAGCTTCACAAACGAATCCGTATGGCTATGTAAACACCCCTATGCTACATCAGATCTGGGGAACACCTATGCAATGCACGTGGTGATAGTTATGCGGTGGAAGATGTGTAGTGCATGCTGCGTGGTGCAAGCTATGTCGTGCAAGCTGTGAGGTGCAAGCTGCGTGGTGTAAGCTATTTGGCGCAGGCAGTGCGGTGCTATCTATGTGGTGCAAGCTGTGTGGGGTGCAAGCTGTGTTCGATGCAAGCTATATGATACAAGCTATGTGGTGAAAGCCTCGTGGTGCAAGCTATGTGGTTAAACAAATATGTAATCTTTGCGGCCGCGCCCAACGCACGAGGCGCCCACGAGGCGCCGACGAGCGGGCAACAGGCGAAAGCTCAGCACACCCACCCAACGTACGAGGCGCCCACGACGCGCCCGCGGGCTGGCACCAGGCGAAAGCTCGGCACCCCTACCCAGCGCACGAGGCGACCACGAGGCGTCCACGAGCGCCCACGGGCGAACACCAGGCGAAACTTCGGCACACGCACCCAGCTCATGAGGCGCCCACGACCCGCCAACTGGCGAACACCAGGCGAAAACTCGGCACACCCACCCTGCCTACGAGGCGCCCACCAACGCCCACGGGCAGGCACCAGGCGAAACCTCCGCACACCCACCCGCATCGAGGCACCGGGCACCAGTCGAAAACCCGACACACCCAACCAACTACCCGGAGCAACAGAAGTTGGAGTCCTGAGTGTTAACACGGTTTGGGGAATAGACTTTCGGTAGAAAGGGGGTCCAGCGCCGAACCACGAAGTCCTCGCGGGCCTCTGGAAGTTCATGTTTATGTCCTCTTGGGGATCTCTGACGTCCTGGTTTTGTGTCATACAAACAATGCCCTTGGAGGTCCCGACGGCCAGCTTTTCATCCTGAGGCACCGAACTACGAAGCCCTCGCTGGCCTTTGGTTAATGTGTATGTCCTCTTGGGGGTCACAGACTTCTGAGTTTCGTCTCATACAATCAATGTCCCTGGAGGTCCCGACGGTCGGCTGTTCATCCCGAGTCATTGTTTGACGGCCCCCGGGACTGGCGAGGGCCCCAGAGGCCGACACCGGCGGCAGAGACTCCGCCCTGGGTTCCCCAAGGCGGAGCTGGCCGTCACCTCCATCTGGCCGGAGGAGGAGGGGGAGGAGGAGGAGGAGGAGGAGGAGGAGGAGGACCAGTGGAGGAGGACTCGCCATCACCTCCAGCAAACGCAGGTCGCCTCACTCGCCCCCACCCGGGCGGGACAACGTGCGGTCGCCGCGCCTGTCGGTGATCCAGATCGAGACGCCGGCGCCGAGCCCGAGCAGGCAGCACGCGATGATGTACAGGAGCGTCGGGTCGGACGAGAGGGGAGGGGGGTGCTCCCAGCGACATTGCCTCAAGCATCACGTGGGCGACGATCTGAATGAGGTATTACGCCAGATGGTATGGCGACCTTACGCGGTGGCTTGCGCGGGCCGCTGGCGCGGGCCGCCACGTTGTAAGCGAGGGCGCCTACGCGCGACTTTATGCGGGCTGCTTACGCGCCAATGTCGGTTCTTCTGCCGCTCATGTGAAGAACGGTCTGCATTCCGTTTACGGCAAGACAGTTGCATACACACAGTTCAGCACATGCGGGAGAGAAGGGTTGCAGCAGCGCTCCCCCACCTCCGCAGCAATCTGCCTCTGAGGCCCCACACAGGGCCGTGCTAGCAGCACGCATTTTGCACTGTACACGCGTTGAGTCCAGGACAAAAGTCACAGGAGGGCAGTGAAGGAGAGAGGGGTTAACTCTGGATGGGGCATCCATCAAGATGGGAGGATGATTGACCTTCCGACGGAGCTTGCCCATTCCCCCCCCCTCTCCCTCCTCCTCCTCCTCCTCCTCCTCCTCCTCCTCCTCCTCCTCCTCCTTATGCTCCTCCTCTTCCTCCTCCTCCTCCTCTACCTCCTTCCCCTCCACATCCTCGCACACTCCACCTCTAACCGTTCTGACAGCACGTGCCCAACTACTCCCGCGGATCCAAGAGGGGGTGATTATTGCCACATCCAGAGTAACGAAAGGGGGAGGATTCACTCACGGGGAGAAAGCGTGAATTTGAACGACAAAAAGAAACGAGTCTAACGTAGGATGACATAACGACCTTACGCCGTGGCTTGCGCAGGCCGCAAGCCCGGCACACTGCGTGGAGAAGAGGGCGCTCACCGGCGGCCCTACGCGGGAAGCTTACGCGCCAACGTCACGCGCAGACGGCCCCCTGCTCTTCCCTCGCCCACTGGGACTTCCCTACACATCGCAGACAGATCGGCGTTAGACCCCCGACGGCAGCAGCAGTTGCTCGCGGGCGGGGTGGGGCACCCAGCCCCCCGGGCCCCCATTGGCGACGAAGGGACCCTTGGGAGTCGGTGTGCCACCCCCCCCTGCGCCAGTCTCCCCCTGTCGGCGCCCATGCGAGGGGGGCTCAGCGCATCAGCTCACGCGGCTGCTTTCCACGGCGCCCCCCAACACGGGCCGGCGTCAGCGTCGGAGGTGCAATAGGGCCGTGAGGAGATCGCTCGGCGGCGTGGCCGAGACCAGCTGCACGCAGCAGATGCCGTGCCCCCCCACCGTCCACAACTCCCCTCCCTCGTCCGGCCCGAGAAGGGCAGCGTGAACGAGGCGGTGGCGCCATGGAGGTATGACAGCGCCAGGGGGCTGAGCGCCATTCCCAAGTTCTGCATGGCCGTCGTGAGCCCCATGGCGGTCCCGTGGGCTGTGGGCGGGGTGACCAAGGGAATGCACGGCCAGATCACGCTGCCAAAGAGACTCAGGGCCATGCCAATGACCACGTAGAATGCCGTGACCGACCAGCACTGATAGCAGGCAGGATAGACCAGCAAGCCAGCGTTGCACGCGATGAAGGTAAGTGTCCCAAGCACCATGATCATTGGCCTCTGGCCCCAACGGTCAGCGGAGAGGCCCGCGATAGGTGAGGCGAAGGCGGACACAAGATTCGGCAACGACGTGATGAAGTCGGCCTGCTTCTCATCGAAGCCGAAGCGGCCCTGCAGATACGGAGTGCTGGTCACCTGCAGGAACGGGAACGCCGCCACATACACAGAGACGCAGGTCAGCGCGACGAGCCAGAAGAGCCTGCCGAAGCTCAGGCAATCGGACAAATTGACGACCTCCTCGCCAGACGCCGCCTGGCCTGCTGGGGTGACGAGGGTCCTGGCACTGATCCGCCGCTCGCCCAGCCAGTCGAGCCACACGGTGCATACCGCGGCTCCGAACGAGAGAAGGCAAATGAACAAGCCGCAGAGGCTCGCTTCCGTCACCGAGCCTGCGCTGACGAGCTGAGGCTGCGTGTTGAAGACGGCGACCGATCCAAGCCTCGAGACCGCGATGTTCACCGCCATTGCGAATGCGAGCTCTTTCCCGGCAAACCATCTGGAAATGATAGTGAGGCTGGCCACGTTCTGGCTCTCGCCACCGAACCCGAAGACCAGCCGCCCCATCACGAGCAGGGCGATCGATCGCTGCCACAGCCCGACGGTGAAGATCAGGGACCCGAGTGTAACCAAGCCCGTGAAAGCCAGGGTCGAGGCGCGCACCCCCACTCTGTCGATCAGGAGGCCGCCGAAGAGCGGAAGGACCACGTTTGGCCAGGAGTAGACCGAGGACAGCAGACCGAAGGTGGTGTCCGTCATTCCCGTTCGGGCTATTATCGCCGCCTGTGTCGCCGAGGTCTGATCGAAGAAGTAGAAATTGCCGAACATGAACGAAGCCGTGGAACACAATATGCAGAACCGGATTCTGGAGGAGCCCGGCTGACCAACAAACGACACCGAGGCTTCACCATTCGAGCTGTCCCTGCTCTTGGCTCGGGGAATAAGTGAATCCCCGCCGAAAGCCGACATCCCCTCGGATGCGCGACTCACCCATGTGCAAGTGACACTCTATGTAAAATGCCTGAACCGTGATGGAGCACGCGCCCGTGCATATGGAATATGGTTGAAAGAGTGTCTGTTACATAGGTATGTATGTATGCATGCATGCATGTGTGTATGTATGTATATATACATACGGGTATGCATGTATGCATGAATTCGTGTGTGAATGTATGTATGCATGCATGCACGTATGTATGTATGTATGTATGTATGTATGTATGTATGTGTATGTATGTGTGTATGTATGTATGTATGTATGTTTGTATGTATGTATGTATATATGTATTTATGTATGTATGTGTGTATGTGTTAATGCATATATGTATGTATATATGTGTAGTTGCATATGTATGTGTGTATGTATGTATGTCTGGATGTATGGGTGTATGGATGTATGGGTGTATGGATGTATATGTATGTATATGGATGTATGTGTATGTATGTATGTTTATAGGTATGGGTGTATGTAGATATGTGTGTATGGATGGATGGGTGGATGTCTGGATGTGTATATGTATGTTTGCAGGATTGCTTGTATGTCTGTATGCCTGTATGCATGTGTGTATGTAGGTATGTGTGTATGTAGGTATGTGTGTATGTGTGTATGTATGTATGTATGTATGCATGTTTGTATGTATGTATGTATGTATGTATGGATGTATGTATGTATGTATGGTTGCATGGCTGCGTGTATGTATGTATGTATGCACGTATGTATAAATGTGTGTATGTTTGCATGTATGTATGTATGCATGTATGTATGAATGTATGTATGCACGTATGCACGTAAGTGTGTTTATGTATGTAAGCATATCTGTATGTCTGAATGTATGTATGTGTATCGGTATGTTGACGTGCTTGGACTTGGACTGAGGTAAACCTTCGCTTTTAGGGGTGGAAACATTTGAAGACTCAACTATTTTTCCCACCATGTGCGCGGCCAGCCGGCACGACCTCTTCATGCGTATGCGCGCAACGAACAGCTGGTCTAACAGACACATCACACACACCCGAGGAGTAATCAAACCAGTCGGGGATGTACTATCAAAATGTCAGCGGGGCCCGAGCTGTAGAACGAGTGCATGACAAGTGCTTGTAAATCGAGTGCATGTGGGCAAACTGCCATGGGTACCATGCTCACTAATGGTCGCTGATGCGTGCGCTGGGTGACCCCAAAGCCGAGGCTGACGAGTCAAATGTGTATGCTGACTAAAAAAGTACTGGCTACAGACCTGGCCATTTGCACACTGTGTGAGAAAGCAGAAACGCATAGCTCAGGAAGCCAAAAGGATTGCTGAGTACGCAGGGGACGAGCATGGAAAAATATGATGGATTACCAAGAGTGCCGAGATGAACAAACGAGCAGCATGAAGGGTGAGATAGGCATGACCGCAACGGAACGATACTGGAGCAAGGCGCGCGCAGCCAATTTCCAGCTACCCCTCCGCACCACCGCCGCGGTGGTGCCAAGCTGCCCAGCTGGACGCCGAAGGCGTCATTGGCAAACGCACCGCGCCGAAGCGCGGCGACTCCGGAGCCCTCACAGAAACGACTACGCGTAGTCGCGGGAGGGCTCGCTTCTCCGCCGAGCGCGCGCGGGCCCTGCCACCGCTCCGCAGCACCTACGGCAAGGTTCCTGTCCTGCCGACTTCGGCGCTGGCCTCTGACACCGCGGAGATCGTTCAACCTCGCACGCTCGGCCGTTTCCGAAACGTCAGATCGTTCACCACCGACCGAGTTTCTGGGCCGCCGCCGGCGCTCAACGTCGAACGCAGGCGGCGAGGCCGCCGCCGGTCGGCACGACGGGAGCCTGCCGCACCAGACAGGCCCGGCTGTCACTGCCACGCGCGGAGGCGCGCCCACTTGGGGAGCGGCCCCGCCCGGGGCGCGCACTGGCGAGGTCTTCGAGGCGAGTCCAGCCGTGGTGCCAGGACTTCGAGGCGGGTCCTAGCCGTGGCGGCGCGTAGCGGTTATGGCTGGAGGGGGAAGGAACGGCGCAGCATGAAACTGTCGGAGCTGCTTGCGGCTGTCCCGGATCTGCCCACTAGGGCCACCCAGATTAGACAAGCGCGCTGCACGACTCACAAGGGAACTGCTCGCAAATGACGAGGCAGAAAAAAGGCGTACGCGTAAAACTTCCGACGGCCCGCAAGAAACGCCGACACAATGTGCTTATGCCACTTCTTGTTTATCGAAGGCGGTCATCGTGCTACCACAAGCAACGCTGAACAAAGCAACGAGGGAGCGTTTCTGGCCACGGCGAGCCTCGGCCGCGCATAGGCTCCCAGACCTAGCATCTAAGGAGCGGCCCGAAAACCAGATCCCCTCCTGAGCCCAAGGACTGTATGTTCATGCCGTCTTCTGTTGCTCGAATATTGTCCTTCTTGGACCTCCGCTGCCACGCGCTCAGCGGCGCGCCAGCGCGCGGCGGGCGGCCTGCAATACGCGCTCCACGCGCTCCACGTCGGGCGGGTCCGCGTCCGAGGGGGCGCCGGAGCTCTCCGCCGCGGCGAGCTGACCCGGGCGAGCGGGGGCACCGCCGCCGGGCGAGCGGTGGCGCGCCTCGACGGCCTTGACGGCGACCGACGCCCGACGACCACGACCACAACCACGGGCCACGGGCCACGGGCCACGGCGGGCGGGCGACGCCGGGCGACCACGGCCACGACCACGGCCACGGCCACGACGACGACCGCGACCACGACCACCACCACGACCACAATTGCGACTACGACCATGACCACGGCCACGACCACGGCCACGGCGGGCGACGGCGGGCGACGGCGGACGATGACGTTGACGACGAAGCCGACGACGACGACGACGACGACGACGACGACGACGACGACGACGACGACGACGACGACGACGACGGCAGCGGCGGCGGCGGCGGCGGCGACGCCGACGGCCGCCTGGCACTGACGGCGGAGCTCCTGCGCGCGCTTCAGGTCTCGCAGGCTGCGCTTCGGGGGCGGCCCAGCCTCCTGGCCGGTTGAGCCCCGTAGGACCCGCCGTTTGCGCGATTACAACAAAACATATGACCAAGAAGACGACAACTTAAGAAACCTGGGCCAGCTTTCCAGAACTTTTGCTGTACACAAGCCTGGACCAAATGTTAGTGTCAACGCTGGAAGGGCGCACGCGCTCAAGATACTGAGCCAGCGTTCCGGCAAGTTGGTTAAGAAACAATGGCCCAGCTTTTCGGGAGAAGATGTTTGTGTCAAATGCTCGACTGTACAACCAGCTGTTTTCTTCCCAACCATCCTGTTCTGTTGAGTCGTTTTGAAAAGACAGCGCCCCGCGTTCCTTCTTTTCCTTCTTCATCCCTCTCCTCCCTCCCATCCCCGCTTCTGCCCTGCATACGCCCTCATCTCATCACCATCACATGCGTACCCGAACCCAGTTTGGCACACCCCTGACACGCTTCGTGGTCCCATGGGAAGCTCCACCGAAGTCCCCAGCGGCAGGGTCCGCATGGCGTACCAGCACCCGATTCGGCACACCCCTCACACGCTTCGTGACGCCATAGGGAGCTCCACCGAAGGCACCAGCGGCAAGGTCCGCATGGCGTACGCGCGCTCGATTTAGGCACACCCCTCACGCGTTTCGTGGCTCCAGAGGAAGCTCCACAGGAGGCACCAGCGGCAGGGTCTGCATGCCGCACCCGCACCCTATCCGGCACACCCCGCACACGTTTCGCGGCCCGATGGGAGCTACACCGAAGGCAACAGCGGCAGGGCCCGCATGGCACACTCGCGCCCGATTCTGCTCACCCTTCATACGTCTCGTGTTTCCGAAGGGAGCTCCACCGAAAGGCCCCAGCGGCAGGGTCCGCATGGCGTGCCCGCATCCGATTCGGCAAACCCCTCACACGTTGTGTGGCCCCATAAAAGGCTTTATCAAAGGCCCCATTGGCAGGGTCCCCATGCCGCACTCGCCCCTATTTCGGCACTCCCGTCACTCCTCACCCCATGTTTCTTTTCAGTGACCTCGCGATACCTGAAGCCCCAGATGGCTGGACCCTTGGCCCGGATAAGTTTCATGTTATCCTGGTAACCTTCCGCGGCCCCGCTGGCCCGCCACTGAAATCTCCGTGGGGCCGCGGAAGCATACCAGGTAAGCCAGAAGAGCATGAGCACATACCGCCAATGTGTTTCACACTGAACAATATGAAAACGCCATGAGCACCATTGACTCTCGCAATTTCCCGACCATCCTGTGGTGTTCGGTCCTCGCTTTGGAAAGACAGCGCCCCGCGTCCTCCTTCTCCTCCTCCTCCTCATCTTCATCCTCGTCTTCCCTTTCATGTTTCCTCCCCTACATACCTTTAAATTCCTCTGGTCAACCAGCTGGGCACACCCCTCACACGATCCGTGTACCTCTCCACCGAACGACGTTCGGATGCGTCCCCCCCACCCATTTCGGCACATCCCTCCCATACTTCGTGGCCCCATAGGGCAGAGTCCGCATGGCGTACCCGCGCCCGATTCGGCACACCCCGCACACCCATCGACGTTCGCACCGAAGGCCCACTGCAGGCCCCAGTGGCGGCGTTCGCAGCGCTTCGTGGTCCCACAAGTAGATCAGCCGAAGGCCCCGGTGGCGACGTCCGCATGCGCCCCTCCACTCAGTACAGTGCTTCGTGGCCCCACAAGGAGCTCCACCGAAGGCCCCGGTGGCGACATTCGCACGCGTCCGCCCCACCCGTTGCAGCGGCTCGTGGCCCCCATGAGGAGCTCCAGCGGAGGCCCCAGAGGCGACGTCCGCATGCGCCCGCCCCACCCAATACAACGCTTTGTGGCCCCATAGGGAGCTCCACCGGAGGCCCTGGCGGCGACGTTCACATGCGTCCGCCCCAACCCACCACCGCAAGCCCCCGTGGATGCGTTCGCATGCGTCCGCCCCACACAGTACAACGCTTCGTGGCCCCATGGGGAGCTCCACCGATGGCCGGAGTGGCGACGTTCGCATGCGTCCGCCCCACACATTAAAACTTTTCGCGCCCCTATCAAGAGCAGAACACCCCAGCAGCAACGTTCGCATGCGTCCGTCCCGCCCAATACAGCGCTTCGTGGCCCCACCAGGAGCTCCACCGAAAGGCCAGTGGCGACATTTGCATGTGTCAGCCCTGCCCAATATAGCGTTTCGTCGCCCCGTAGGGAATTCGACCGAAGCCCCTTGGCGACGTTCGCTTCGTTGGCCCATGCGGCGCTCCACCGAAGGCCCGACCCACTTGCGACGTCCGCATGCGTCCGCCTTGCCCAGTACAGCGCTTCGTGGCCCCATAGGGAGATCCACCGAGGCCCCTATTGCAACGTTCGCATGCGCCCGCTTCACCCACTACAGCGCTTCGTGCCCCCCTAGGAGCTCCACCAAAGGCCCCGATGACGACCTCGCATGCGTTCGCTCCACCAAATACAATGCTACGTGGCCCCACGGGGAGCTCCACCGAACGCCCCGGTGGCGACGTTCGAATGCGTCCCCAGCTCATTTCGGCACACCCCATCACGCGCTTCGTGGCGTCATACGGAGCTCCACCGAAGGCCCCAGTGGCGACGTTCGCATGCGTCCCCCCTCCTCATTTCGGCACACCAAATACAACGACTTGTGGCCCCACAGGGAGCTCCACCGAAGGCCCCAATGACGACCCGCCCCATGTCGGAACAACCGTCACACCCTTCGTGGCCCGATAGGGGTGTATATCGGAGGTGAGAGGGCGAGATCGAAGTGGAACGGAGGTCCCCCTACCGGGAAATCGGTTTCGGTTTCGTGTTCGCGCGTGCCGTGCGTGCGGGCGAGGCGAAGCTGCGTGGGCGGGCGAGAAATAAGTCTCCTGTAGCTGAGGCGCGGCCGGACCAAAAGTCTCCCTTCCGGCAACCGGTGCCCCGCGGTGTCCCGCCGGTGTCCCGCTCGGGGGCCGGTGGCGCGCGGTGTCCCGCCGGTGTCCCGCCGGTGTCCCGATGATGATGGTGATGATGCTGATGATGCTGATGATGTTGATGATGTTGACGATGATGATGATGATGATGATGATGATGATGATGATGATGATGATGATGATGATGGTGATGGTGTCCCGATGATGATGGTGATGATGATGATGTTGACGATGTCGATGATAATGATGATGATGGTGATGATGATGATGGTGCCGATGATGGTGATGTTGATGATGATGTTGCTGGTGGTGAGTATGATGATGGTGCCCCGATGATGATGACCATGATGTTGATGAGCGTGATGATGTAGATGATGATCATATGATTTGATGATGATAATGAACATGATGATGACGGTGTCCCGATGATGATAATGATGAGGTTGTTAATGGTGCTGTTGATGATGATGGTGATGGTCATGATGGTGTCCCGATGATGATGATGAGAATGATAATGGTGATGACGATGATGGTGTCCCGATGATGATGATGTTGATGATGAGGGTGATGGTGAGGTGCTGATAATTTTGATGGTCGTGGCCCAATGATGGTGATGATGATGCTGCTGTTAGTGATGATGAGGGTTTCCAGATGATGTTGATGATGATGGTGATGATGGTGATGATGACGATGGTGACGATGGTGATGGTGTTCCGATGATGATGTTGGTGATGATGTTGTTGATCATGATGATTATGGTGTCCCGGTGATGATGATGATCTTGATGATGTTGTTCCTGATCATGATGATGAGATGATGATGATGATGATGGTGGCCTTCTGGTGATGATGGTGATAGTGCCCCGATGATGATGATGATGATGATGATGATGATGATGGTGATGCTGGTGACGACGATGGTGCCCCAACGATGATGATGACGATGATGATGTTGATGATGATGTTGATGATGATGGTGATGAGGTGATGATGATGATGATGGTGTCCCTATGATGCTGATGATGATAACATTGATTGTGAGATCGATGATGGTATCGACAATGAGATCGATAGTTAGACCGGATGTGAGATCGATTGTGAGATCGATAGTCAGATCGTTTGTGAGATCGATCGAATGAAACAGATCGAGTGGGATCGATTGTGAGATCGATCGAGTAAGGTCGATCGAGCAAGACGGATGGTGACATCGATAGTTAGATCGATGGTGAGACCGATCGAGTGAGACGTTGGTTCCTCCCCCCTGAACCCCCTTATCACCCGAAGGGTGGCCGTATAGGTGTGTGTGTGTATATATATACTATACGGCCCTTGTGGCAGCGCCCGCAAAGCGACCACGCCCCACTCTAATATACCCCTCACAATTTTCGTGGCCCCTAAGGGACCTCCACCGAAAGGCCACAGTGGCGACATTCGCTTGCGGCCGCCCCACATGTTCGGGCACACCGCCCGACGGCCCAAATGACGGCCCCATTACACGACCGTGGCCTCACTTCGGGGGGCCACTCCTAAAGTCCAAGTACAGCGCCCGCACGGTGGCACCGCCTCATATCGGCACACCCTTTACACGCCCCGTGGTCCAATGAGGAAAACCACCGAAGGCGACACCCACAACGGCGATACCTACATCTGCATATGATTGGGCCGTTCGCCAGGATAATTGTTATGGCGCGGACTCCCACGCCTGAAAGCCTTGTGTAGCAGCCGTTACAACAAGGAGTCCTTGTGTGGCGACCTTCCAAAACTACTTCAAGTGCGGGGCATCTGCGATGGCCGCCACGCGTAATTATCTGGATCCGAGCGATCCCCACCGAAACCTTCGGCGTTTTGTCCCGAAGGTGTTATGTCATGCCGTGCTATGCTGTGTTTCGCTATGATTTAGCATCGTATGCCGCGCTCTGTCATGTTATGCTGTGTCATGGTATGTGATATAGTGTGTTGTGATGATGTGGTATGCGGCGGTTCGTTGTGCCATGTTATACTATGTGCTGATACGCAGTGTCATGGTATGATATGTTATGTTGTTGTATGTTCTAGATGCCCTTATATGCCATAACATACGGTGGTATGATGTGTTACGTTATGACAT